CTCTTTCTCCTTTTCTGCCTCTTTCCTGTCTTCCTGACATCCTGCCTTCCTTTTTTTAATGGAACATGCTGAAACTTGGATATACACAAATTATCATATTTCTTTTTCCAAACAGTCCAGAACATTTTACTTCCCACCCTTAGCATCCACTTCTCAAGAAGGACAAAGGTTCGCACTACTAACAGAATTAGTTTGTCTTATGCAATCATTTAAATTGATCAGATCCTCTGTGATAAGGATTAGAAACATCACCAGAAGCCTTCAGTTCCTTTCGTTGCTTTTCCTTGTTCTTTCTTTCCAAACATTTTGACATGTATGAGTTGATCTTTACTCCACAGTCTTGAGCGGCACCTTTCTAAGTTTCATCTCAGTGTGAAGTGAGGAGAACATCTTCAACAAATGCCTTGATGTGAAAATTGCAATCATATATGTTCATTGCTACTTGAACATAAATACTGTTCAAGACAGCACTTTTCTTTTTGAATGCTTGTAAAGGTTTTATATCACCTAAATGACACAGAACAGGATAAAAACAGGAAAATGAGAGTTAAAGAAGACACAAACTTGTATTTTTACGCTCTGGTTTCTCAGATATAAGCTTGTAGCTACTCTTTTCTGTAGAAAGCTAAGGAGGATTCATTTCCAGAAATGCTCTGGCCCAAGAACACTTCTTAAAGGGAGAGTTCCTCTGTTCTATGTTATTAATGTACTATAAGTGATGTTACACTCAAGCAACTGATGAATGATAAAAGGGAGGGACACAGTGCCAGGAGCGCTTCTAAAACAGAAGTAACAGTTGGAGATTTTTGTTGCTATGTTAAAAAAAGATGCCTGTGATCATTTTTCTCCAAGTGGATTTTTTTTATTATTATTATTTTTAAGAATTGCCATCATTATTTTAATTTGTGACAGTGCTACTATTTTCAGGACAGGTTGCCAGGTCTAGCAGAACCTGGGAGTTACTGAACAGGAAGACAGAGACCTCTTATCAACAGCAATATGTTGAATCTCACCCAGAATATCACTCTGTTAAAAAAATCAGTTCTGGAGTGCTCACATCTGCTCAGATTATTATATAAGCAGAGGCCATTTCTTCTCCAAATCACTCTCACACACAGACTGTTGCAGGCAGCTCATGAAGACAACTTTGTTTCCTGACCTGTACACACATTTCTTGTTGCACAGCTGTGCTGAACACTCCCAAGGAATCCAGGATGTAATCCAAAAGCGCAATTTTTCTAGCAGTATGTTATGATTGATGGTGCAACAAAATCTTCCAATTAGCAACCATAACAGCAAGGAGAGAGTCAACCAATAGTAAAAAACATAAATATAAGGATTCCCAGTTTCATTATGCACAAATGTCATCCTACATGATATACATGTACAGATAGTTGAATATGAAAAATACAGATTATTTGAAGACAAATACTTTTGCGCTTGCAGCCCAGAAAGCCAGCTATGTCCTGGGTTGTATCAAAAGCAGTGTGGCCAGCAGGACAAGGAAGGTGATTCTGCCCCTCTGCTCAGCCCTTGTAAGGCCCCAACTGGAGAAGGACACAGAAGTATTAGAACAAGTCCAGAGAAGGACCACAAAGAAGATCCAGGGGCTGGAGCACCTCTCCTATGAAGATAGGCTGAGGGATTTGGGATTGTTCAGCCTGGAGAAGAGAAGGCTCCGGGGAGACATTACAGTGGCTTTCCAGTACCCAAAGGGGGCCTACAGGAAAACTGGGGAGGGACTGTCAGGGAATACAGTGACAGGACAAGTAATGGCTTTAAACTAAAAGGTAGTAGATTTAAATTAGGCATAAGGAAGAAATTCTTCATGCAGAGGGTGGTGAGGCACTGGCACAGATTGCCCAAGAAGCTGTGGATGCCCCATCCCTGGAGGTGCTCAAGGCCAGGCTGGATGGGGCTTTGGGCAACCTGGGCTGGTGGGAGGTGTCCCTGCCCATGGCAGGAGGGTGGAGCAGGGAGATCTTGAAGGTCCTTTCCAACCCAAACCATTCTGTGATACTACAGTCCTATGATTCTATAAAATGCAGGATTTAAATCTGTCAGGATTTAACTTTTGAAAATATATCCTTTATGAACTACTACTGGCCCCACTAGAAGGGCTGTTGGTAGATTATTTTTCTCTACCACCTCCTGAAGGTGATGATCTGAATTCCCTGCAATGTCTCTTGCAGAGGCAAAGCCATAATCAAACCCAAGTGCAGATATCTCTTTTCAGATCTGTGCCTAATTCATTTCCATGTAGGCAGCAGTTTTGTGTGCACCCCAGGCTTCCAGCCCCAGGCTGCCGTGTCAGCCCCAGCACCACAGCACAATTAACACATCTGAACCTGCCACCACTTGCAGGGTACAGTCTTGCCATGAACTCACTATACCAGGGGATCTCTTAGCTGTGCCAAAACAACTGCAAGGTGCAGGAGAAACCTGAGCAGATAAGATCGCTACCAATAAGATATTTCTAGTCTAGCAGCCTCACCACAGACTCACTGCTTTCTCTCTCAAGCAAGAGAATGAAAGCATTTTTTCTCATGTTCTTGCAGTTATTGATGTAGGATGTTTCTAAGAGTTTATTTTAATTTGAGCAGTGCCCTGAATCATTCTGTCTGCATCAGCAAATGCTGACAACCTCTTTTCTGGCCTCTCTTGCAGTGAATACTTTACTTTTGTTCAAGTGCATATTGCAGGAAAGTTGGATTGAATAAAGCATATTCATTGCACGCATATACTTCTCCCCAACCTGTGTGCAAGTTCAAGCACTGTATGCTTCAATTCTTATTTCCTGAAGATTCTCAGATAAACTCATTTTTCCTCTGCATATAATTTGAGGGGCCTTATGACTTGGACTTTGTTCCCCCGGGACATTCCCCAGTTCTTTATAGCATTCCAGGTTATTTGGACAGATTAACTCCAGCGAAGTTGTCACTACTGCCCTCTTCTCCTGTCAGCAGCTTGCAGCCACAGGGCATGGCAATGCTTCCCAACTTATGGATCCAGCCCAGGGTTGCCGTCCCTTTTGCTCTGAGCACTGCCGAGTGATGACCATAGTCCCCACCTCTCTCTAGAATAACAATAAAGCTGACAACAGGTTCAAGGTCAAGGCAATACCAGTTCAGAACTTCTTGATTATTTTTATATTAAAGTACAAACTTTCCCAAATCCAAACCAAACTGGGAGGAAAGAATGTGTGCATTAAGGCAACAAAAGCCAGGATGGAATGTTCTTTTTCTAGCCTGCCTTACGTTGTGGTCTGACAAAGACATCACTTGCAAATCAACATTGCCTTCTGGACGAACAGCTGTTCCTCAGTGACTTAGAATAAGAGTAACTCATAATAGTCGCCTGAAAATAGAGGAAAGGCAGCATTGGTTAGAAAGCAGCCTCACACTACAAAGTCTACGCTGACTCACTATGGTATTTTGGTACATGGACAGTCCTCCATCCTCTTAATCTGGCCATCAGCAACAAGGGGAGGAGCATCCTTCTAAACCACAACCCCCAGCAGAAAAGCTAGCTGGGTGTAACCTGAAAGCAGCACCTAGTGAGAAAAGCTTTTCTATGTGCTGGTACCACATTTAAGAAATAATTTCACTTATCACTGCTGCAAAGCAGGGTTCTTAAATGTGAACCTATAGCAAAGAAGAAATACACAGCAGGCCAGGTCAAAAATCAAGTAAAACTTGTGTGGCTGATTGAAACTAAATTATGATTTATTTTTTTTTTTATTTTTTAAGAAAAGGCCTCAGTCTGGTGTTTGGTTTACAAAAACAAAGAAGATTTTGTGCCAAGTTATAAGACAGATTTCTAAGTGTCCAGTGCTTCCAGGTCAAACACTTTGGGGCTGGTGGCTCCAGTGTAAAGATGGACAGGTTCTGTCTTCCCTCCTTAGCTTCAAAGAGCCTGGATGCTCTGCAGAACAGCAAGAGTCCTGATTTACTGATGGAGGATCACATCCTGAAAGCACTGTGAGGTCTTGCCTTTGTGTGGGAGCAGACCTTCCAGCTCACTGTTGCCCTGAGATACCCCAGATTTGGTCAAAGCAGATGCAGCAGGAAAGTGCCAAAACATTTTATAATTCTAGCTGGAAAGATGTTTTATAACTTCCCTGAGTCTGTGAAAAAATAAATAAATAAAATAAAATAAAATAAAATAAAATAAAATAAAATAAAATAAAATAAAATAAAATAAAATAAAATAAAAGTGAGGTCATATGTAGAAAAACTGCAAAAGCAGGACCCAATGCTACTCAGCAGCATCTTTGTTTGCATATTCAGCATTATAACTTGGGATGATTTTTCTGGGGAAGGAAGCAGTTTTCATTCTCTGAGCTACCAGCCTATAAAATACTCATTACCATAGTTATATGGAAGTTTGTATCCAAGGCTAAAGTTCAGCCAGTGATGTTTGGCAAAATTGCAGCATTTCAGAAGCAGCAAGGATGCCAACTCCAGCATTTTATATTTAAATGTTTTAATGTGGTATCATAGCAATCCTTGCTACCAGAGAACTCTTAGCACAGACCAATTTATATGCATGCATATGCATGTATATGCTTATTTAGCTATGCATGCTCTGTTTAGACGTTTGTGCTGGGAAGGGGCCATGCAAGGGACAGGCAGGCCCTGGGAGAGTCAAGCAGATGACATGACCTGCAGCCTGCTAAGGTTTCTCCTATAATATGTATTTTACATCATCTGATTTGTTTATTGCAATCTCTTTCTTGTGTTTCTATACACTCCTAGGAGCTTTAATTACCTGGGGAGTTCTGCTGGTTGAAGCCATGCACCAGCACCCACCTCCCCTCAGAGAGCAGGATGCCAGCACTAATTCCAGCAAGGAGGGGTCTTTCTGGGTCCCCAGATGATCTGTTTTTGTAACAGGTGGATTGGGTGGTTTGTTCTTCAGTGGGTGCATCTTGCAGCAGAGAGGTGAGAAGATCAGAAGTAGTCATAAGAAGAGATGTCCTAACAGAGAGGTCTCATATGTTTCTTCTTGCTTTTTTTTTTTTTTTTTTTCTTTTCTTTCTAGATCTAGCAAAATCCTGTAGCACTTTTGGTTTCATATCAAAGCCCTCTGTGGTCTGTGGTACCCAGACTTCTGACCCTGCCATCTTCTGCAGCAGAAGTACATAATCTACCTCAAAGTCTAAATCATTAAGGGAGAGGAAAGCAATGGTCGTCCTCCCTAAAACTAGGTCACACATTTCCACCCTTCCCTGAATGCCTGTGGGACATCAGATCTGAATATATTAAGTTTTTACATGCGTATGATCAAATTCAATCTTGCTGACACAATTCAACTGAGGGCAGTGTCACCAGAACAATCACTCGGGGCTGGGCATTGGCATTTAGACCGTCAGCCTGTGAAACATTTCACAGCACTAAACAACTTGTATAACCCAGTGATGCAATGAATGACATTTTGCTCTGCAGACAACCAGAGCCCCAAATGCCTCCCCATTCATGCTGTATTTATGCTGTTATGCTACCAGAGACTTAGGAAGAGCCACTCCTGAGTTAACTCCTTGAGACTGAGACATGACAAAGTAGTGCTGCTGCCATGGATGGGCTTTGAGTTACACGTCCTTCCTCCAGCAATGAATGCTTGTCATCTTTTCTTGAACTGCCCTTGTGGTTCAATACATAGAAAATGCCCCTTCCAGTCTGTTATCAGTTTTTCCTGAAGTAAATCCACACTACGGCCCCAAATTGGATATTAGCAGTGCCAGATACCTCAGTGCATTGCGACCTGGGGAAACAGGCCCAAGGTGTTCAGTAGCTAACAGATCACCATATTTACCAGTATGAATGTATCTTTGTTGTTTGGGATCACATATTCCTTCAGGTCTGTGGGCAGATCTACACATTCAGTGAAGTGATAGCTTTTACAAACATGACCAGAAATTTTCAACCTCTTACCATCTGGCAATATTATTTGCTGGCGGGAGGTGGGGAGGAGTTTGGCACAAAATGAATCCATCCGGTCTAACATAATCATTTCATTTTGGGTATATCTTAATCCCACCTTCCTGCTTTTTGCACTGCTTTGAAACACTTGTATGGTTATATAAAAACGTTTTCTGCCAGCATGTTTATAATTATCTCTCGTGCTCAGATCAAAGAGCACTATCTGCCCTTGGTTCTTCTATGATATTACAGTGTGGGGAAAATAACATCAAACCCAAATGAGAAACATCCTGTTGTCTTGTTAGCTCTCTGCCAGGAGGCAAGGCAGGAGGAGGAGGGAGCAGCCTCAGGGCTGCATCCCTCTCCCCGCTGATGACTTAGGAAATCACGTTCCAGCTGGTCATCTAGGCTCCCAAGGGCTACAAATGCATGCATGCACCAGAGGAGCTAGTACAGTATCATCCAAGACTAATAAAAGAAGGAAGTCAGTCAGCCCTTTCATGAAGGCCCCTCCAAATGCTAGGAATGTGTATCAGCTATTTCATCACAGATAAAATTAAAAATATCCATCTTTCAAAACTCAGTGTCTGAAGGTGAAGGGGAGGTTCCCCTCTCTCTGGATCTGGTGGTAGTCTGGAGGTGCCATCCCAGTAGGAGCTGAAGACACACAGATCCCAGCACATCTCATAGACACTGCTGTGGCAGGGGAAAAACTCTTGTGAGTTCACCTGGTGACATCCCTTGCTTACTCAGTCACGAAGAGTCCGAAGTAACTGAAAAGAGACAGCAGTAAAAACATCAGAAATAGCACAACAAGTAAATTAAAACCCAACCTGCTGGAAGAGAATCTCCAGCAGCCCCCACATACGTGTCTGCTGACATAGCCCTTGGTGGTTGCTCCTGCCATGCTCCACCAACAGGCCAGACTGCTCTCATATGTTCTGCCAAAGATCTGGGAAGATACACACTCCCTGGAAAATGCAAGAAAAAGTGAAGGGATTTGGCAAAATTATCAGATTATAAAGACTGCTAGGATATAATACAAAAACACTGGAATAAACAGGGATGGAATTGGCATCCCTGCTTCACGAAATGTGCCAACATTTTTAAGACTTGGCTGCCTGAACTTTAGCCCTGGTTACTAACTCCCATATAACTATGGTAATGAAATTTTTCAGGCCAATAACAATAGCTCATGGGAGAAAGAGGAGTATTTCCCCACACAGATTATCTTGATCTCCAGTGCAGCGATGGGTATGTTTTTGTAGGAATGTAGCAATGTGCTAGCTTTCTAACCTCAAGCTCTACGTACACATCACTGCACAAGGTTTGTTTGCACATGTGTTTTATAGCTTGCGTGCTTAATTACTTAATGATTTATGGCTGTCATTAAATACTGCTGCTCTCCATTTGAGAGGCTCCAGGAGTGAATGGAAGTGACTTGGAATGGCTCCATCTCTTTGCCTCACGAGGAGCAGAGAGGTTCAGAGGCTTAAGCATTGCTCCATGTCTTTATTGTCTGCCCATGAGCTCCTTCAGAGCCTGCACTCCATCTGAGTGGGACAGGCAAGTGAGGACACATAGGGCTGAGTTAGCTCCTACTTCATTACATCTGACTTAAATTCATCGTTTCCCCAAGAGGCCTCCCTGTCCCTTCACAGGACTCCTGTACATTCCCATATTGTTCTTCACAGGGCTGGGAAGTTGGCAGTCTGGTGAGCTCTCACAGTGGTTAGAGAAGCATTTCAAACAGGGGCAGAGTTAAGGTGGTTGTGAAAGGGCTATTGCAGAAGGCAAGTTCCAGATTTCCCAGTACAGGGAGGTTTAAGTCAATTATACTTTAGGCCTTTAAGTGTTGACTTTGTGTTCTGGAAAGTATCAGGCACAACTAATCTCCTTACATAACTGCCATTCATTTCTGTGATGCTTTGAGGGCATGGCAGCTGTGCCACATTCCCCATGTGGTCCCTGATGACTCCCACCAAACCAACCATCCTATCCCAGCACTGCCTACATAAGCTGTCATGAGGAGAGAGACATGAGACGTGCCTGAGATCTGGCCCCATTTGCTGCAGGCACAGGCGGACCCTGTGCAAGTTCGCTGCAGAGTCAGTGTCCCTCAGTGAGGGGTCTGTGAGGAAATGCTAGATGTCAAGTCTCTTCAGAAGGAGGCAGTAAAGCATCTGGACTGTGATAACATGTCATGCTTAAAGACTGGTGCAAGGTCAGAGAGCCTATTTGTGGAAAGTTTTTTTCTTCTTTGTTTTGTTTTGTTTTGCTTTCCTGCTATGCACTGTAAAAGTCTGGAAAATGTTGTAGACGGCTCTCTTGCTGTGGTCCCCACCCCACATATCCTTTGAAAGAAGGACTCCCCACTTCTGCCAAACATCCTTGCTGCAGCAAATCAGTATTTGTGTTTATTGGGGGTGGGCAGGTTGGAGCTTTTAGAGCACTCTGGATATGGAAGGCAGCTGCATATGTGTGTGGGGAGGCAGTATCTGCAGAACATGCTGTGTCAAGTGGTCCCAGACTAAATTTATCCTCCGGCCCTGCTAAGGCACAAGAGCTTTCAGAAGAAATTGAGCATGCGTGTAATTTCAGAGCCCTTTGAAACACTGCCTGTTAGGGTGAAAGCTCTGCTCTTGGGGCAGAAATGTGAAAGGAAAAAAAATATTTCCTTGCAGCTTGCAGGTGAAAAGTTAGCAATCCTGCAGTTCATATCCCCACAGCCATCACAACTAAGTGCCCATAAACCATGTCCTACTGTGCGTGCATCCCTAACTTCCTTTACCTAATCCAGAGAGATCAGAACTGTACCCTCATTACTTTTCCTAACATTACCTCTCCAAGGGCCGTTGGGTGTCAAACACCATTCCATACTAAATGCCATACTCCAAGTACAGGACCTGATAACAGCCTGGGGAGGATTAGAGTCATGGTTTGATATCCAGATGTGTTAACAACCAGCAAATAAAATACTGCATGAGGAGTAAGACTGGGATGGCATATGATGTTTTTAAGCAGAGGTTGCATCTTTGGTGTACTTTGTTCAAATGACCTCAAATTTGGCCTCTAGTCTCTACTTGGAGAGCAACATTTTAAGGGAATTCCACTATTCAGATGAATTAATTGGATATGTCTGCATTGCACAATGCAATGTACCGCAGAGCTCCTCAGCCTGATGCTGGATGAACTGGCTCCCAAGCCAGAAACAGCACAGCTGCCCCTGGACAGAAGAGATGCTTCCAGTATACAAACTTATCTCAGTACACACTGTGTCATTGACATAAAGGCTCAGATGGAACTGGCTCAGGACATGCAAGGCTCAATACTGCCCTGTACTGACATGCCTTCAGAATACAGACCATGCTGTGAAAAGGTACACTAGCCTCATTTTCAGCCCAACTTCCTAAAGAAAACCGATTTCTGCAGTGACAGTGTGCATGCACATCTGTCAATCCCACACCCCTCTGAACTTTTTTTGAACCTGCTGCCTTCCTTTCTTGTTAAATTGGACAGAGGTGGAGGCATTGTGTGTAATGGCACTAGGTGGCTACACAAAAGGAGGGACACCCAAATTAATATTCCCAGCAAGGGAAAGGCTGCAGTGCAGTCTCACTTGCAGTGGTCAGGGAGGGCACAAGGGAGAGTGCCCCAGAAAACCAGCCTGTCTGTGCAGCAGGACGGCTCGGTACAGGCTGTGCTAACGGCAGCCCTGGGGAGCAGGAGTTGGGTGCCTTGAATGAGCCCTCCTCCCACACATAATAAAATGTTTCAGCATCCAATAACACTGCTTAAGATAACAAGATTAAAAAGTCGTGGCTCTTCGCTTAAAAGGCAATTTAGTTATCACATTGCTGTACAGCAAAGTTGGGAGCATGCAGTTACTCCAGCGGCTGATACAAGCTGCCTGGTTTCTCTGACTCCCATGCTGCAGCAGCAGTGGGGAACTGCCCTGTGCACAAACCTTGAACAAAACAAACAATATTCAGGGCTAGAGGAAGAAGGAATGCCAGTTTTCTAAAACTGTGCATGCCTTGCTATAAAAGAGATGGTTTAGTCTAGATGATTTATGCCCTGCAAGGCTGGGGCGTGATTTCTGCACTGGGTTATCTCTGGCAGATGCTGCAGAAAAAGTCCAAAGAAATTCCTACCAGCCCTTTCTTCCAGTCTCCTAGAAGGAAGAGACTAGGGGTATGGGGAAAGCCCAGCAGCCAAGGCCAGCCTAGCACAAGAGAGCACGGACCTGGGGAGGCTCTTCAGCTCGGCTTCAGCACCTCTCTGATGGTGTGATTGTGGTGGCTTGGTTCAGAGGCACACCTCTGCAGCTGTGAACAAGCACCCTCGGGCTCCAGAGAGATGGATGGAGAAAAACAGGAGTATAATTTATGCCACATCTTCTTATCTCCTCTTATCACCGCCAGGATGCAAATTAGTCATAGCTTTAGTAAGTGATTACATAAGCATCATATTAATTTTGTTCATATTTCCCCAAAGAAATCAGTGAGTTGTTAGTACAACTTGGACTCACAGATTTATTTTCCAGGCATCATGGACTATTGGCAACCAGGGTGAAGTCATTTATCATTTCAAAACAAAGATAATCAGGTTAACAAACCAAATTTCTTCCACAAGAAAGCAGCAGCAATAAACAAATAGGCAGAGACAATCAAGAGCCACAAGAGAGTTTGGAGGAGAAAGCAAAATTGGTTCAGCCCATTGTTTTCTGCATCATTCTCTAGAGCTGCCTGAAGATTTGTTTGTTCCCATCCAGAATATTCTGTTATGCAAAGGATTATTCAAAGACAGAGAGAAACAGAGAGAGAGAGAGAGAGCTGCATATTCACAGTTGGAAAAGGTCTTGAGGGAATTCAGTACAAAAATGTCCGGACCTCATGATCCTGGAGCTGCCAGTTGTCCCAGAAGACTTGTCAGGGGTGCACGCCTCCCAGTGACTGCTGCCCTATGCAATTCTGGCTGCATGGTATGTTCACCACTGTTTTTTTGAAAGGCAAAATAGATTCAAAGAGAAAATTCTTCACTGTGTCCATTTGCCATGTGCAACAGTAGGAGGGAGGGAAGGAGCTCTTGGAGGGCATGTGAAATCCCTTCAGCACAACTTGCAGAGACTTGAAGTGTGCCAGTGAAGTAGATCTGTGGGGCCACTGGCCAGCTCTGGCTCCGCTCCTCCTCATTGCTAAGTGCCCTCCTGGGAAGAAGCAGCTCCTTGAATTCCTGCTCTAGGTGATGCAGGGTCTGCCTAATGCCTCTCTAGGCACGAGGCTTCTCCTGGCTGCAGACCTGGGACCCCAAACTGGTAGAAGGCCAACACCAGTAACGGCTGCCTTAAACCTGGGAGCAGGAACAGGGCTCATTCTGTAAATAAAGTGAAATTCTTGTATCTTCCCAAGGAATATTCTTAGCCATGAGTGCTCTGGCTGGGGACAGGCTGATAAATACCAGGAATCTCAAACTGACAGTTTTATTATTTGTTTCTTGAAGCAGACAGCCTAACACACAGAGGGAATGAAAGATGCCACTGCCTGAACACGGGGCTGCCGAAGGTGTCCAGCACACTGCCCGTGCCTGTAAGCACCCAGCAAATACAGACCCACACAAGCTCCTCCACCTGCCCTGAGCATTTTGGCACCCTCAGGCTGAATGATGCTGCCTATTCCCATGGTCGAGCACCTGGCAGTTCCTCTATGGAACAGCTGCAACAGGCTTGATGAGGTCCCTGCAGGGGACACAGCTGAGTGCACGATGGCTGTGCTGCTGAAATACCATGAGGTCTGTGGCAAGGAGGGCAGCACTTCAGTTCCCAGTGGCATTCACCCCTTCTGCAATATCCCTGCAACCATCTCATGGCCCTGGGAGAAGAGGTCTCCAACAGGGTGCACTGAGGGAGAGCAGAATAGAACTGACTGAGCTAAAAAAGGGGGGAATGTATCTTGCCTATTTTATTTATGCCTGGGGAGTATCCCTTCAGGCATGTGAAAAACAGGGAAAAACAAATAGCAGGAGCATGTTGTAAATCCTTCCAGACTCAGCAATCTTCTTTGATTGTTGGTCACCTTTTCCCTCCACAGAGGTCTGTCCCCAGGCCTTCTCTTGAGGTAGGTACAATCAGCACAAACTGAATGAAAGAAAGAGGCAATGGGAAAAAAAAAAAAAAAAAAAACACCTTTCAAACCAAACTACTAGAGGAAAATATGTTCCTCTGGTATTTAGTGGTAAAGTGGTCATAGCACTTGCCTAAAAATAGAGGACCCAGAGGCAAAGTCCTTACTTGGCTTGATAGGATTCACCCCAAAAGATCCCAGCAAAGCATCCTCCCACCTGATGTGTTCAGAAGAGCTGTGTGCATTGAAATGTCAGATCCAGGAGACAGCCTGTGCTAACCAGGAGCTCCATCTTTCTTCACATGAGGTGAAGAGGCCATTCACTGCAGTCTTACTGGAGACTATGACAGTTCTTACACGCTGTCTCATGGCCATTAGCTGGAGGCCACACCATCACTGCTAGCTTGTGCTGCATGTGATCCATGCACAGGACTTAACATATTAAACAGTTTTGGCTAGAGAGAAAAAGGAGTATTTCCATGCCAGTGAAATAATTACCATAATGGTCCAGTTAACTCTTCTGGCCTTTAACTTTTCATTATTTTGTTACCCACAGAGTTACTTCAACAACCAAAACTGCAATCTGTGGATCTAAAGTCATTCCCGCATTGAATCAGAGCCACAGCAGACATTTTGGATCATGCTTGGACTCTCTTTATGGTGAACAATTTTCCTCTCTCCTCTCCAGTCATCTGAAGAGTTTAAATCATGAGGAACGGTTTGGCATGTTCTTACCTCCAACAGCACAAAAAGTTCTGCTGGAATGGTAATGGGAGAAGCCAATCTGAGTTTTGTTTTATTTAGGAGATGTTTAGTTGAAGTAGTGGGAGAAAGTAGCAATAAAAAGAGCCATAAACTTTGACTCCGTACATCTAGATTATATTACAGTAACATTCATATCTACGTAGCTGAGCTACACCAGCCATTTTGCTGCACACTCCTTTTCAGAGGTTAGCTACATCTAGGATGTGGTGGTGATGGAGGGATGTTTAAAAATGCCCAAAGCAATCTGGTTGGCATAAGATAGTCTTTTCCACTTTATCATATAAACTGTGGTTGCTGTACATTGAAGTAGCTTTAAAGCAGCTGTTTTTCATTGATAGGTCAATTGTTTTGCTTAAATTACAGAGAGAGATGGAGTATATTATAAGTATCCTTTAGATTACACTTTCAAAGATCAGAAGTACAACATATTCTAAAATAAGTATTAACCTTCAGACAAATGGAATTTTTTTTGCAATTTTGTACAAATGGTTATTTGTTTCCAAGCTGAGATTTGATATACTGAGTTTCATCCCTGAGCACATTTCTGAAGCCAAGCTCAAGCTTCCTGAAAATGAAAATTCCCTGTGAAACATAAACTAATCTTTAACCATGACAGGGAGAATGGGAATAGGAGGAGAAATCATTCTGCTGTGATAAGAACATTTTTACTCTGCAGCTGAATTATTGTTCTTCACTAAGCATGTGAAAAGAATTAGGATAGCCTTACTTTCACTGTGTTAGACAGTTAATTAAAAGTTAAGAGAAGGTAGACAAAAATTAGCTCAAATATGCACTAGATTCCTCCAGAGACAGACCCTGGCAGAAGGCTGGGACAAGCCACAAGCCTGGAGAGGAAGACCATGTGAAAGATGGCACCACGACACAGTGTGCTGGCCTTCAGGCACCAGCACAGCCTAGCACTGCCCATCACCTCTCCTCTTGGTGTGGGGCGTGGGCGAGGGTTGAGTGGTGGGATCACCTAATGCCTGCTCGCAGCCTGCTGCATGGGTCAGCAGCCACGCAGCCCCTTCCCACCTACCTCAACAAACTCTGGTGACAAAAAAACGGGGTCCATCACAGCTTTTGCTCCTGACGGGGAAGTGAGCAGCAGTCAGGCAGGGAGGCAGGCATGCAGAGCACAGCAGAGTGTGCCAATTCCCTGCGCTTGCTCGTGCCCACTCATCCTCCCACAGACGAGCAAGAATAGTACCTGATCACATTGCGCATGTGGTTTGCCTTCCCCTGAGGAAAGCACTGCAACTTTCTGCACCAATAGTGCTCCAGAACTGCTCTTCCAGTCCCACAAATGGCAGGCTCCTACCTCTCTGCATCCCTGTGAACAGTCAGCTTCAGGAGCAGCCCACAGGACCAGAGGTGTGTACTTAGCAGGGTTCATCTTCAGGGTCAGGAACACATGATGTAGCTGCCTCTTTCTTAGGTAGGCTGGAATTAAGGGTGCCTGTGGGATATTGGAACAACAGATAATAGGATACCCCCTAATTCCTCATTTTCCTTCTAGCCTTAGTCCACCAGGACAAGCACAAGGTCCCCAGTCCATGCTGGCTGGGACAACCTGTGGAGTCCTTTCCAGTCATGACCAGTATATCATTTCCAGGGTCATGACCATACTTTAAGGGCAACAAACACTTTTGTGTGCTTGCTACATGCAGCTCTGGTGATATCTGTTCAAAAACCTCTGGGATAAAGATACAAAACAAAAACCACAGCAATCCCATGTTATATTTCTTACCTGCAAGATATGGCATCCTCAGCTTCCCAGAAACCCCAGTGTGGGTGTGCAGCTAATGCAGGAATTCCAGCACTGGAGAGCAGGGGAAGATATGAAAGTCTCTGAGAGCCATTATAGGACCACAGAGAGGTTGGAAAAGAGATTAGCCAGACATGTTGTCTGGAGCTGAAAAGTCCATGAAGATGTGCCCAGAAGGACAAAGACCAATGTAGCGGGGACAAGTAGTGACCATCAGCAGTGATGACCCAGAAGCCCATGTCAACATTTACCTGGAGAAGAGAGGGACTGACACCTGCTTGAAAAGTGCAGCAAAAATAGGCAACCTTGCCGAGTAGTCTTCAGCTCATGCTTTTTTCCTATCCTCTGACTCTTCCCTCATACTTGCTCCTCTTCCATGTCCTTAAAAAACAATATTATCTCTGCACTGCAGAATTGCAGTCCAAAATACCCTCCAGCCCTGTGAGAAGACTTGTCCTCAGGCATGGCAAGCAGGGCTTGGCAGGCCTCTGCAGCTGCACGAAGCCTGATTGTGCTCACGTCTTCCTCCTCAGCTCACCTTTCTGGAAGCCAAAACATTTCACCACCTAGGAGGCAGACAGCAGCCTGAGGACACAATAATCCAAATCTAGAGCTTGTGGTTGCTTGCAGTCTGGCTGCTGGGGATTTTGTATGCTGCTGCTGCAGAGGGTTTTGACCTTCGCTGTTCTCCATCTTGTTTGTTTTCCTTACATTTTTTGCCCCATGAATGTTTAAGTGCTTTTCTTTCATGAATTGCTGAACATTTTTAGTCCAAAACATGAAAGATTACGTCTTTGCCAGACAAAGGGAGGGCACAAAGCACTGGAATAGTCTTGCAAGTTAATGGTCTGGAATAGGGAATGTCAGCTGCTTAAACCTACCTGCAGCCTGCTGAATTTTCTGAAAACCATGCAGTGTGGCCATTTTGCAATCATGTGTGCCTGCTGGGCAACAGCCCCCACTGTTGGCTTGCTAAGTCTGAGCTGGTTGGAGGAGGCACTGAGGAGCTGCATACTGTAGTCCAAGAGATTGGACTGTGCACTTAGTCACATGGTCTGAACTTTTGGGTAGACCTGTGCGGTGTCAAGAGTTGGACTTGATGATCCTTAAGGGTCCCTTCCAACTCAGGATATTCTATGATTCTATGTCTTCTCCACGTTCAGTGTAGAAATGGGGTTAGATTAGTACATTTGCCCAAGGGTTTTCCATTCCTCCTTTGGTGCACAGTCATCTCCCATATCTTTCTCATGGATTCAGAGCAGTGCTGGCAGTGCAGAGGAGCCAGCTGCTTCTCCAGTGTGGCATCCTTACTCTGTGGCAGAGCTGGATCCTGACCTGCCTGGCTTCTCTGGAAGTCAGGCAAGCTAAACTGATAGGGACCATCACTGCACCTCACCTGCAGCTGAGTTTCAAAACATATCCATGACTCTCACAGCAGGAGGCATGTTCAAACCCAGTACTTCTCCTTTGCATGGTACTGGAGATCAAACGCTTGTAAATGTCTGTGCTGCTTGGCTGGTTACTTAGTGACTTTGAAACTCTTTGCGGGTTAGCACTGGAAAGAGGAATCCTAGGTTTCCAACCCAGGTCTGGTTCCACAGTGTGGGCATCTTGGTTTCCCTCCATGCACTGATGGACAGACACCTGCCATGGGTTTGGAGTTCAAGGCCCACATGAGTTCCTGGCATGAGTTTGCCTGCAAGAAGAAAATAATACAAATTTCCCTGTTAGCACTTGGTTCATTTCAAATTTACAACATATCTTTGTGAAGGATCATGTCTGATGATAGTCTGTTTCGTACCCTTGCAGATTTAGGGCTTTGTTTTTATTTACACAAAAGCTGCTTATGATTAACCAGGAAATACCCATATTGTCTTGTGGGAAACAGAGTGTGTTGAAGCACATCTGATTCTGATTCATTTATGTTGTGGGTCAAAAAGTGCTGTTAAGAGAACCAAACACGAAAGGTAGTGCAAGAGCCCAAACTGGGAACATCCATAGTAAACACCAGGAGAGGGGTCATAGAATCACAGAATGGCTTGGGTTGGAAGGGACCTCAAAAATCTCCCAGTTCCAAGCCCCCTGCCATGGGCAGGGACACCTCCCACCAGACCAGGCTGTCCAAAGCCCCATCCAGCCTGGCACTGAGCACCTCCAGGGATGGGGCATCCACAGCTTCTCTGGGCAGCCTGTACCAGGGCCTCACCACTCTCCAAGTGATGAATTTCCTCCTAACATTTAATCTAAATCTTTCCTTTTAGTTTAAAACCATTCTCCCTTGTTCTGCCATTGTCTGACTGAGCAAAAAGTTGCTCTCATCTTTCTCATAAGTCTGTTTTAAGTAAAAAAAAAGCTGCAGTGATGTCACCCCGGAGTCTTCTCTTTAGGCTGAACAGCCCCAGCTCCCTCAGCCTGTCTTCACAGGAGAGGTGCTCCAGCCCTCTGATCATCCTCATGGCCCTCCTCTGGACCCATTCTAATAGATAAATATCCTTGTGCCG